ACTTTAAAAAACAGGGTGACCCTGTTTTCTTAAAACCCCTATCACTTCACAGAACAGTTAGGAAGGACTGCTTTTCTAACTGTGAACCTTACCTAATCCATGCAGTCCCTTCCACATTACTCCCTGTAAGGAGGACGTTACACCTCCCTGTGCCCATGCTCATCTCCTTTCACGCTCCTTGTTTGCTACCACTCCAGCCCCTTCCTTCTGCAATGTTCTTGGCCTGACGTCTTCTGGATTCATCCCTCTCATCACCCAGCTTTTTCTCAATTATCTCTTTCTCAGGGAGCTGATCTCCGACTCAGGAGTAAATTTGTATTCTCTCTTCCATTGTCTTCCATTTCACTGCAGTCCTATACATTTATCTAGTGTGTGTAGATTTACCTGGTACCTTTTCTTTCGAATTGAAGCACTGTCACTGGAAGGCAACATAACAAAATGAGCGACAGGCTCTGGATACCCTAGTTGTTGAATATTGTCACCTAGTTCAGTGATCTGTGACCATGGACAAGCCACTTCATTGTTCCAGTCTTCAGCGTCCCAATCTTAAAATAAGGGTGTTCCTCATTACTTAGATTGCTATGACTTAGTTATTTTGAAAGATACCATGTTTAATCCATGACTCAGTTGGTTAGTGCTGAGGAAATGGCAGATGCTAACTGATTTCTGTCTTTATCTGAAGCTCCAGGAGAAGATTGCAGCCATTCTCCTGCACTGCCATTTTGTAATATGAATGACGTTGCTCTCAGTACCTAGCTGTGAGATCCATCAGGTGACTGATGGAGAGGATCTCTGTATACACAGCCAGCAAACAGTGAATCCATTCCGTCTGTCATGAGAAGCGACTTAGAACACTTGTGAGGTACAATACCTGCTGTGTCAGCTCGCCTTCCATAACCTTCCAGTCGTTTAAGGCTCTGCTCAGACCTTCCCCATGTGGCCACCAAATGTCCGAAGTGACCTCGGAAACTGCATAGAAATAAGTTCAGAGCGCTGACTTTGCCATTCATAGAAAAGTCAGCTGAAACGGAACGAAAGGCAGGTTTAGTGTTGTGTGTGATCTTAATACTCAGCTTTATCCACTTGCTTCTAGAGTCTTTTAAATATTGGGAAATTTAAAGTCGTAATTAGTGTTTTCTATTTGGGGATAAATGTTAGTTGCTACCTATGTAAACTGGTCTGGGTGGATGAGTTACCCCTAAACTGATGACAGTCGGTTAGAATGGGGGACCATCAGAGCATCAGAGAAAATGCTGAAGTGTAGCCAGATACTCGAGAATACGCCCCTAAGAGGACTCCCCACATGTGCTCCTCAGTGAGGTTGTGCAAATATATGCAGCCAGGGAATGGTCCTCTCCAACTGCATACAGGGGTTCATTTGCATTTTGAAGGACAAGTGACAACGGTGACATCTGCCTGCCTTTTAGAAGCAGATCTCCCTCAGACATACACTGTAATCAGTGGCTAACCTAGAAAGAATACACAACAGTTATTCTGCTCTGTCGCAATGGCCCATTCTCCAGTGTCTCTACCAAAGGACACCAGTTCCCCATGAGTTACCTAGAAAGAATACACAACAGTTATTCTGCTCTGTCGCAATGGCCCATTCTCCAGTGTCTCTACCAAAGGACACCAGTTCCCCATGAGTTACCTAGAAAGAATACACAACAGTTATTCTGCTCTGTCGCAATGGCCCATTCTCCAGTGTCTCTACCAAAGGACACCAGTTCCCCATGAGTTACCAGAACTTGCTCTCAGGTATCAGGTCATCCCTTTTGTCCATGGTCAAATCCCCAGAATTTTAGAAAATGATCAAAAGCTACACTACAGTAGAAATTTAAACTTGCCAGTGTGTGCTGACGATAGTCCTTTCCCATAACTGAAATATGCCTGGAAATTTTCCACGGGAGAAAAATTGTAAAGGATGCTATCACTATTCGTTATTATGGATATATTTTTCATTTTAAAAACAAAACAACCTAAAGTGAATCAGTGAGATCAGATAAATGGTGGAGGAAATACTTTGTCTTTCGTGAAATATAAATTGGAAACTTGCTAGAAAGCAAGCCGTGTTTATTTCTTGTGCCAATGAGAACATTTCCCTAGCAGTGCTGTGGGAGTCGTGCGGCAAGACTTTCACAACACTGGCCTTGCCATATGGGAACATAAGCTCCTATGGCAATGGAATACCAGTGGGATCACTTCCTGTCAGTTTCTGTTCTGAAGCCCAAGTGATAGCATTTGGCAGTGTGTGAGCAGAGACCATTTCATTTCCCTTTCACCCTAACTGCCCATCTGTTGCTTGAACTTTATGTGATTATTTCTGATAGGAGCCTATAACATTGCCTCTCTCAACTTTTTACAAAAATGACCTCGTACCATCTAATTTTAAACTCCGGAACACAGTTATTAAACAGTGGCTTTCAAAGTAAGTAGCAAATTGGGTAAATATGTGGTGTTCTGTTGATGATCAATTGATTTGTGCACTGGCATTCAATGCTGTGGAACTGAGCTCTTATCTGTGCTTCTGGTCCAAAGGGAGAGTATTACTCTGCAACTACATTTTCCCTCTGCTTCCATAGCAACAGGCTACTCTGGTCACACCTCTCCATTTTTGCCCAGAACCTGCAGTCTGCATAGCACCCTCAGAACCATTGCTCTGTCTGCACTCTGCACAGCAGACACAGAACCGTGGCCTCCCCGCTTTACACTTCCCTCATCCAATCACCCAGCCAGTCTGTGACTCTGCATGCCAACCTCTGTCAACAGAATCATCTCTCTGTGCCAGTCCTCTGCACTTATCTCCCACTGTGCTCCTTCCCACCCGGCCTTTTTGGCCAACCCTCCTGACAATTTAATGTTAAGTATGCAGGTATCATCACTATTTATGCTACTTCAGAATTGTCTACTTAAAAAAAATAAACTCCCTTAACACTCCAACTTTGAACTATTTTGACTAATTCACTCCATCCATATCAAATGGTAAAGAAAACTATTGTAATTTGATTAATGTTTCTTTAGGTTGATCCGAGCTTGGGAGTCACTTCAATGCAGCATGTTTTTAGTGTCTCATATCTCTGTTTCTCCATGTCCCTTTATACTCATTCTAGGTCTCAGCTGTATAAATTAAAGGTTTTTAAGGTTCAGCTCTAGAATGAATTTGATAGAAACTATTCCAGAATACTTCCATTAAGTTATCTTTATAGTTCTTTAATAATGTTTTTCATTGAATTTTGAAATGATTAACTTTCCCCATCCCAGGCATATTTGATAAATTATTTCAATCAGATTGCTTCTTCTGTCTAAATGAATTAGTGTATCTTCCTGTTAACCTTGGGGCATGTACTGCTAGCATGGAACCTTTATCACCAGACCATTACAGGTTATTTCTGTTTGGGGGTGTGTATCATGCCCGCAAGGGCACCTTTTAAACTTCACTTTTAATGCTTCTTCTAACTGCTGTGCATTGTCCAAGTCTGAGGAGTTGATGAAGCAGAGGGAATATCAGGGAAATGTTTTCTTGGCCACTATAAACACCTATTATAGCAAGAGGAAGGACGCACTTCACAAGTCCACTATGCTAAAAGCTATTGAAGGATTAGTTGAATTTAATTTTCTATGCAAATATCAGCAATGTTGTTAACTTACACATGCATTCCAGTTCTGTTATTATAACCCTACCTATGAGTGATAAAGTCACGTTATTGTCAAGTTCTAACAAAGTGGTAGATTTTCCATCCCAGCTGCAGGTCACAGTACCATTCCTGCACTGAACATCAGTGGCTTGACTGAGGACATCCAATACCTAATGTTGTACCTGGCACATGATCGATGATCATTACAGTTCTGTGGGGCAGATCCTGCTGTGCTCTGCTGAGTCTGTTGCATTGGAACCCTGCACATGAGTCAGCATTGGAATCTCTATGCTTTAGTGTGTCACTTCGCACTTTCTAATTCCTCTCCTGGGGCTGTGATGTTTTGTAAGTGCTAAGTTGGTATCTTCATTTTCTTGTTTCTCTTCATGATATGAGACAGGGGCCAAAACTCACACATCCTCAAATGCGGAACACTGATTTTTTTTTTTTTTTTGGCTCAAAAAGCTCATGTATTCCTAGATACAATAGGAGCTTGAAGAGAAAAACATGTGATTTAATATAGTCTTAATTATTTTGTCTATGTTAAGGGGTCCTTGATATAAAGATTTGGCACAGTAGAATTTCAAGTTGGTTATGGGGTAAGAATCTGATGGATCAATGATTATGTCCCTAGTGTATATTTATGTTGGTAATTGCTAACCTTCTATTTGAATACAAAAACAATAACTTAATTGGCAGTAGAAAATATATACTCTGTCCAGACCTAAAGCAGAGCCACATCACCTCCGTGGACTTCAACATAGAAGAAAGTTTCATCAAAATGTTGATAATTCTGTACTTCAAAAAGCTCTTCTGGTGAGAAACTATGAACTGGAGACAGGGCTCAGAGATTACCAATGCTAGATCAGGTCCATGGCTCAGAGATTACCAATGCTAGATCAGGTCCAAGTTCAGATACCACAACCCACTTCAAGACACTCCCAAATAACTGTAACTTCTGGTTCACAAGGTCTGATGGCCCCTTCTGACTTCTGTGGGTATACACACACACACACACACACACACACACACACACACACACACACACACGAGGATAAAACAAAACCTTTGCTATTGCTAATGTGAAATCCTTTTGTTTACATGTCTTTGTAGTCTGAAGGAATGAATGGCTTTTTTTCCAGGAACTTATGCAAAATAAACCGCCTTGGTTTGGATTTGCCCTCCCTGTAATCTGACAGGAGAGACTTATTTTCCCTCCAGTGGATTGTTGGGAAACCAACTTGGAGCTCCTGTCCTTCCCCTGGATGAGGTTCAGTGATCTGGAGTGAAGGAATGACCCAATGCGATGAGTCAGTGATGACTTACTGAGCCACCCATCTGAGAACTCAGTCACAAGGCCAAGACTGTTTGCTAAGATGTTTTTAATGATGACATTGCCAGTGAGCTCATGTCTTATACTTTCCTGGGACCCACAGCTTGCTCCCTCGTGGCAGTGGCTCATATACAACCTGTTTCAATGCTTTTTTCGTCCTGGACCCTTGACGTGATGTTTGATATTGCCTGCTACTTCCTTATCTGAAGAGTCTTCTTGCACAGTTCCACTCACCAGCCTGGCACACAAGGGCAACTCTCCTTCAGGAAGGAAGTGTGTCTGTGTGCCGGTGGTGCCAATCACCAGCACATTTTTCTTTAGGTCGATGGAACACTGATGCCTCCTGAGCATATCAAGCCCGAGAAGGATATCCATGGGTTGCTCTTCCAGTATAGAGAAAGAGCACTGTAAGAAATCACCTTCAATCTGAATCTGAGCCAGATGAACTCGGCCCACAATCCTCTGTGTGCCCACTCCCTTAGCAACCCCGGCCCATCGCTGGTCCACCAGTCTCATGATGTTACATCTCTCAGCACAGGCTTGGCTCATGATAGTCATCTGGGCACCTGAGTCAACAAAGGCCTTTAAAGGATGCCCATTCACTTTGCAGTTAATGTAGAGCATAGCCACTTGTCCAAAGCTCTCTGGAGCCTCTTCCATAGCTATGTTCATATTTTCTTCAATATTCTGCTGTCTGATTTCTTCTTCTATTCTAGCCTGAGCTTCCTGATCAAATGGGTCTGCAGAATAGAGACGAACCATCTCTTGCTCTCTCAAGGCCCTTTCTCTCTGCTGCTCCATCAGGACCTGGGAAAATGTCTCAAGGTTTCCACTAAGCAGAGCTTCAGCCAAAGCAGGATTCCGTTCCTTCAATAGGGACAGATCATGGGGGTTGGAAAGCAGCATGCTGCGAATCAGAGCAGGGCTGTTGAGATCCTGAGCATAGGCCATATTCTCTCCTGAGGCCAATCCATGCGCTTGTGTTGATGGTATGCGTTGCTGATGGTGATGCTGATGCTGGTGCTGATGCTGATGATGGTGTCGGGAATTTGACGTTCCAGGCACGGCTGACCCAGTGAAATCAGTTCGAGGCTGGTTTGGGGTCCTTCCTGGAGTCCGAAGTCCCACATTGTCCTTCTGGAGTAATACAATCATGTCACCATCTTTGAGGCCATAGGCGCCCAGGGTACAGTGGTCATCTGTGAGGAGCTGTTCCATGTAGATGAGCTGAATCTCCTCGGCACGCACACCAGACTCAAGCTCACAGAGGACTCTGAAGTTGCAGAGCTCAAAGTCAGGGCTGACCTGGAGGGAAAAGGTTACCTCTGTGAGGTCCCTACGCACACAGTACACAGTTAGCAGCATGGTACACACTCAGGAAAGCCACATTGGCAGAAAACATCTGGTAAATAGCTGGCTGATTGGTGCTGGTTTGGGTGGATGGCTGGCCTGTTCCTCACACCTTGGTATGAAACTCATTCAACCCTCAGAAAGGCAAAACCAGCGACCAGAATGGGGGCTGCCTCCCAGCCCCAGCGCCAGCTGATGGCCCCATTGAGCCTCAAGGTAACAAGTCCATGTACGTATGTACTGCTTGGAACTTAGAACGTCTGTTTCCATAGAAATTGTTACTCAAGGCCAGTGGGTTCCAAGGCTGTCCCTTCAAAATCTACTTAATACTACCTATGCGGAACATCTAAACTCTTTTTAACATGTTAATATTCAGTCTGTTAACTTTATACCTGCATTCTATATACTTATTCTTATCTCTGAGACAGTGAGGGTATGACTTGAACTTTACAAGGACCATGCTGTGTTCTTAGTAGGACAGTAGATGCCTGCCATTGAGGGTAGATCGGGGGAGGGGGGTTGTCTTCAGCACAGCCAACAGTATAGAGACTGTATTCTCTACAGAAGTAGCTAGCTAAATGCAGAAGGAGAAATATTTTTCTGGGTAAGAAAAGGTTAGTTATTTCAGACAAATTGAGAGATAAAGGAGAAAGGAAGAATAGGGACGTGTGGTAGGAAGAAAAAGTAAAGGAACAAAAAAGATTTGAGATGTGGTGATTGATGTTTTCATTGAATTGACATACTAAGGGTGTCTTGAAGCACAGAAAGGATATGCGGTGGCAAAAGCTGCTCCAGAGGCTGACAGGGAGTTAATGGTAGGGATTGAAAGCGGAAGAATAGTGGGAAGTAAGGTGTTCTGGGTAGATGGTCACCATGTCAAAGACAAAGTTTACATGCAAAACATAAAGTCCCTAAAGTGGAAGGCTGGGTAAAAATAGGCCATGGTCTTGCCCAGATGAGTGAAATGAACCCCTGATGAGACGAGCTTGACACTGATTCTGTAGTAAAGTACATGGCAACCCAGAAGCTAAGTACGACTCTCTCTGAACCTGAGGCACAGCAGACCCCAGCAATCAAACAAGTAAAGGGGGATTGGGTAGAACTCTGGTGTACTCAGTTTTCTCTAGTATAAAATGTTCTCTGCTATAAAGAGTTCATGGGCCCCTGGCCCCTTGCTCCCAGGTGTCTACTTATGAACCAAAGGGTAGTCACAGTTCTGTGCCAGGACCCCACCCATATTTAAGAATTTTCAGCTGTGCCCCACCATACAGAGGCTATTGCACCAGCTTAAAGAATTTTCTTTGATGGAGGATGTCCTTCTGTATATATGTTTCTCATATTAACTGATGAAAAAAACACTAGCCAATAGAGACCGTAAGATAGGTAGGACTAGGGGATGAGGAGAATTCTGGGAAAGGTAGGCAGAGAGGGACCTCCAGAGATACCAGGTAGCCCAGGAAGGAGTAACAAGTCTGGACATTCTCCAGTAGGATAAGACCACATGGAAATACAGAGATTAATAGAAATGGGTTACTAATTAAGGCAGAGCTAACCAGTAAAAAGCCCTAGCCATTGGCCAACAGTTTAATAATTAATAGAGTATCTCTGTGTGTTTATTTGGGACTGAAGCCGTGGGACTTGGCAAGTAAGAAATTCCAGCAACAGTTTCTCTTATGTTTGTCTCAGTTGAAAGACAGTAACACTTCTTGCTCTAATTATCTCATCGTTGCCATACTCCTTGTTTCTTTTATTGGGAATGATGAATGAATGGGAAGCATTAGCTGGGTTACAGGGAGACAGCCATAAATGTTGGGAAATACATGTTGTGTTCTTATAGGAGCTCACAGTCCGGAAGAGGACACATGCATGCACACAAACTGGGGAGGTTGCATATGAGGAGGAAAGCACAGGATAATTCCAAACAGCCTGAAGGTAATCACTTACCAGGAGAACAGATGTGGAAGATGATGAGATCTGTTAAAGATTTCTGAAAGAGACAGGCTTTAGCGAGATGAAAGGTGCCACATGGCAGAGAAACAAATAAGAAGGGGAGAAGGGTGCCCTGGTTTGCAAAACTTTTTAATATGGAGAAATACTTAAAATTTTAGGGAAAAAAACAACAAAAATTTCTGGGAAGCATATTAATTTTACAAAGAACATTTTCTGCTACAGGCATTTATACCTATCTAGTCATTCAATTTCTGTTTCATTGTTGTTGCATTTTTATGTGTGTTCATACATGTATGGGTGTACAGAAAAATGGCCACCAGAGCTTGCGAGTACAGCTTTGACTTGGCCCCTCTCCTCCTTACATATTAAGTCATAATCTGTCACTAGGACTTAAGTTTGCAGACTCAGCTAATCTGATTGCCTTAGTAGAATCTCTTGGTTCTATCTCTGGGTGCAGGCATCAGAGAGCAGCAACCAAGCCTGTCTGACATTTCTTGGGTGCCTGGATCTGAACCCCTGGCCTCTCTCCTGTGTTACAGGTGATTTACTCACGATGCCATCACCCCAGGTCATTTGTTTCCTTCACTGTCTCTGTATTCTGATGCTTTCCCAAAGTCACTAATGATTTCTCAAGTCTGGGACCAGCTATGATACTGGACATCTTGTGCAGGCTATTATTCTCCAGAAGACTCTGGGAAAGCTGGTAGAACAGGGATTCAGTGATTCCTCAAATACCATGTGATATTTTGTTCTTAAAACTGTATTTACTTGTGGAGATACTACTAGGGTTGTTTGATGTGTGTGTGTGTGTGTGTGTGTGTGTGTGTGTTTATGCATGCGTGCACGTGCATGCATGCAAATGAAATTGTTTTTGTAGAATAAAAGCTATCTTTGTGTTCTTACCATTTTCCCCCTTTTCTTTTGGTTTTAGTAAAGCAAAAGTTGAAGGTTTACATCAAAAGAAACTAATACATTTTTAAATATTATCATTGCCTAGATACTGAACAGATTTCAGTTTTATGGAGACTATTCTGTTACTTTGCTGTAATTATTTAGTTTTTATGCCATTTTTGCATTGATGTAGGTTTTACTGTTTTACCTTCCACCCATAAGGAAGCAAAGAGCCTCAAGGTCTAGCCAGTGAATTCTCATTACCCCTAACTCACAGCTAGACAGGCTTGGCAAGAATCATCTGGCTCAGCCACCCACCACACTTTTAAACCTTTTAAACTAAACAGCTGGAATCTCCAAAGCTAAACTCCTTCTCCCCAGGCTATTTGGTATTCCCTGATTGTGTATTCTTTAATTCACTGAATTTACTCGGCAGTATTGGTGATTCAAATACCAGATGTATAATTTTCTTAACTCAAATTTTTAATTAAAAGCATCATCTGATTATGTGGTAAACATGGTAATTATAGAAACTTCCAGACATCAAATGTGCCATAAATTCCCACTGCACAGGCGCTGTGAACTGACGAATATTGAGAAAAACCAGGTGTGAGCATGTAGCTAACTGGAGGTTATTACAACTTTTTATCCAGGAATACTTTCAATATTCCCTGAAATGTATAGAACATAATTGACTCTTTCTTTGATAAGTGAGACTCCTACAATGTCTTGTGGCTATCACTCAGAACATTAGTTCTCCTTATATAGCCAAAATACTCAGAGATTGGAGGACAGAACACAGATTTGATACTCCTGTAATAAACCCATAATAATAGCTTCTATAATTCACTTCTTTCTAAAATATTAATGCAGTGGTTCTCAACCTCCCTAATGCTGAGACCTGTTAATACAGTTCCTCAAGTTGTGGTGACTCCCAAACATACAATAATTTTTGTTGCTTCTTCTTAACTGTAATTTTGCTACTGTTCTGACCCATAGTAATATATATATATATATATATATATATATATATATATATATATATGATATCCAGGATATCTAATATGGAGTCTGTGTGAAAAGGTCATTCAAACCCCAAATGGGTCTTGATGCACTGGTTCAGAATTGCTGCCTTAATTCAACAATAACAACAAAAACTCAGATAGCTGATGATACTATAACCAGTTGCTGTTTACTGTATTATATGTTGCTTTACAAAGCAAAGTAAATATGGGATTTAATTTGTGAAAAAAAATAGGATGTCTGATTAAATTTTATGTTTCACATAAATAAGAATAAAAGACTTCTAAGTACTTATATTTGCTTACCCTGCTTAGAATCCTTTTAAAATCTGCCTGAGGGGCTCAAGATGTTGGTCAGTAGCAGGTAAGTTGCCTAGCTTCAGGAAACCCAGCGTTTCTTCCCTAGTACTCCAAGAGAAAGAGAGGGTGTGTCAATTTAAGGCCCTAAGTTCAGTTCCCTAAGACCAGTGCAAAGCTGGGTCTCCTAGCAGTTGTCCCTAATCCCTCTAAAGCAAGCTGGGAAGCAGAAAGAGCAGATCCCTGGAGGCTTGGGGATAAGTAGCCTGGCATGCAAGCACTGGGAGGCAAACAGACTCAGTCTCAAAGAAGGTGGCAGGCAAGGATTTATACTAGAAGTGTTCATGGGATCGCCATACACACATTCACAAACACACACAGATATATCATATATGCTTAGATGTCACAAACACACACAGATGCATCACACTTGGATGTTACAGCCACACACATTCACAAACACACACAGATATATCATATATACTTAGATGTCACAAACACACACAGATGCATCACACTTGGATGTTACAGCCACACTTACACACACACACACACACACACACAGAGTTTCATCACTTGAGAGTTTCAGTGTTCCACTGTTTCTTCAGTTGCTTTAGGTTCATGCAAGATAGGTGAGAACCACCAGGAACCAGTAGCATGTACATAATCGAACATCTATTTGCTAGATACATTAAAATGAGAAAAGGGTTAGTCTTGCCTGTCATTGAAACTTAACTCTGCAAGACTGATGAGATTCATAAGCAGACATGTAATTGAAGGAAAGCATTAGAAGTCCCATCAGTCTCCAGGGAAGTCACCCTGAAGCAGCTGCTCACCTGGTACAAGTTGGTAAGCCTGTGACAGAAAGTATGTGCTTGTGTACCCATAGGGAGGGGGAGGGGAGAAGTCTGAGATGAACATGAGTGACAGGACGTGTTTGCAAATACATAGAAAGGGCCTTTGAAGGGTTTTCTTACTCTCCTGTAAGGAATACTCCCATGGCCACGTTGATTGCTGCATTTGATAAACCATGTTCAATCCCCCCACGTCTGTCTCTGTGTGTAAATGTGTTAATAACACGTGT